GTGTATATTTATAATACCCTCTCTTTTTGCTGAGCTGTGGCCTGTGGCACTTACGGTGTGTGGTGTATTCCTGTTCACGATTCCATTGGAAATTGGAAGGAAAATGGCATATAAACTGTTATTATTAGAATGGAGCCTTGATTTTATTTGATATAAAACTATTAAGTTGCCAGAATAACTGAATTATATTTCAAACGTTACTAAATGACTTTTAATAGTAACTAGATTCCATTTCAGTCACAGTTAAATATTTAATTTGCAACAACACACTCACTATTAACGTCAGAAGAAATAATTGCCCCAACTGGGATAATTTGTTGTGATAACAAACATATATATATTGAAACAGTACTAACAATCTAATTGTCATAACTATGTATCTTGATTGTGGCAAATAAAACTTGGTATTATTCCTTGAAAAGGCTTATTAGTTACCACAACAACGTCGTAGATGACTCAACTAAACTTTTCATTTGAGGCAAATAGGCGTTTCCAGAAAAACAGAATTAGTTATGGCAACAACTAAAGCTTGCTGTCCCCTATCGTACTAAAATTTTTTTCTGTTGTTCCTAATTTTTTAGTAACGGCTACAAATTTTTTCCCTCAGTGCAGAACAGTAACATTCTTTGGCGATTTTTCCACCAGAATAGTCTGCTTTCGGATATTATTTCATGATATGCTTAGTATTCTCATGCGGTTTTAGATGGATTTGGAAAAATGGAAAGTTGTCGAGCGTAGGTAAACAAAATGGAACTTTCTTGGGAATAATTGAGGATTTTTTAGTCAATTTAGTCCGCTGTGAATACATTCTGAGTGCGAAAAGTCAGATTATATGTTTTAATTTTTGTATTCAAAGTTGCCTTGAAGAACTCTCGAAGAATATATAATCAAAACCTGATAGTTTCAATTCAGTTTTGAAATTTTGCCTTGAAGGCCATTTGTAGATTGGGCCTTTCTGGCTGAAAGCAGAATAATGCTGATGTCAGGATTCTCTTGAAAATCATTCGGAATTCTGTGGTTTCAATGTGATCTTGGAGATCGAAATAAGAGTAATCATGTTACTTGCGATAAATAGATTCAGTTAATATAGTTTCAACTGTGAATTTGGTGTGAAAAAAAAATTGTTTCAGAAATGGAGTTCAGAGCTGTCGTAGGAATACAACCGATGAAACAAATTTCTCACACTGCCTGATTCTTGATTTCTCTCAGTGATTATATGCTGTCACTGCACGTCAGAGTGTCCATATGCACTTCTACAAGAATGTCAGAAGTATGTCGAATGTGTGCCCATAGTTTCTCAGGTGATGGACGGAAGAAGTTAATTTGATTATGTTCAGGTAAATGCGAAGAAAATTCACAATATACACAGGGAGAAAAGGCGATTGCATATCTATGCACAACATTGTATAGAAGATGTTTGTGAAGTATTATTTAACATTTGTTCAAATAATCACTACAGTCATTTCGTGAAATGAAACAAATGTTTGTGTATATCAATTTGTTAAATATTTGTACATATCCATGTAGCGGAAAACTACACAAAAATATGCACATCATCCAATGCATACAATTGTATCGACTAAATACACCGCTTTCGAAATAATTACACTATTTGTGCACGCGGTCCTCACTTTGTACATATTATCCAAATAGCGGAACATTACAAAAAAATGTGCACATCATCCAATGTACAAAATTGTATTGACTAACTACACCTCCTTTGAAATGATGTTACTATTTGTGTAATATTTTGCCACAGGTGTTCAATTTTTTTCCACTTGGTAACGGCGTCCTATCCCCTTCTCCTTCTACCTACTTATATCTCAATCTCAATAATATGCTGAATTTGCACTTGACCTGTAGATGTGTTATGGTTACAAGTGTGTATGGTGCAGAATGTAGAATCTTCTCATTTAATATTGTTTGGCGAGTTGGTGAATGATTGATGATTGTACTTGATGACCATGGGTATAGTCCTTCCGCAAAATTATTCCATGTTTACTGGTGCCACAAAGTGGAAGATGTAATAAGATGTATCAACAAAGTGTCCTTATTTGTTGGGAACTGCTTGATCCCTGGTATCTACCCGGTAAGTTATTATTTCAATAATACCTAATAATAATTAGCTTCGACTTGCTTTCAATTTCAACACCCATTGAATGCAAGTCGAAGCTAATAGCTAATCATCAGGTTTAATTGAAATAACTTACCGGCGAATGTTGATACTAGTTCAGGTAGTTCCCAACAAAGAATCGACACTCTGTTGATGTAAACATGAAATAATTTCGCGGAAGAACTACTTATGATCATTGAGTACAATCATCAATCATTTACCATCTCGCCAGACATTAATAAATGAGAAGATTCTACAGTCTACGGAAGTACACATATACTTTTGTATCGTTACCAAATTTGTATACAAAAAATACACAAATTTGTGTTATTTTCAGTACATTGAATTGTGAACATTTCCACAATTTTGTAATGCTAAGTTCACCCACTTACACAGTTTGTGCACACATATCACACAAATTGGTGATATTTGTCGAACAAAATATTGGATGATTTTATATATTTGGTATCACGAAAGTACACAAATTTTGTTTGGTTTTTCAACAAGATTGTTTTGAAAATTACAAAACTGAATTGTTTGGTTATACAAATCTCTCACACAAAATATTGCGCGAAATATACACAAATTGGTGCTATCGCCATTTTAGAAACAAACTGTGTAAAAAATATACACAAATGTGTAAAATACTTACACTAATTTCTCTCTGTGTATGATTGAGGAAATACGTCAATAAGACACCATAAATTATACGTATCTATATGCATGTGTACCTAATGATAAATAATTATGTTTCGATGAACACTGAATATTAGTTCAATCTAGTTAATTGAAGGATGACAAGATATATTGACTTGGCTTATTTCCAGGACCCAATCACGAAACTCACCAAATGTTACACCAATTGAAGCTAAGGCAAGTGTGAATCTGATCATTTTGCAGTTTTCTGATGAGTTGAACTGGATGAATGAATAATCGAAACTCAAGGGAATACTTATAGAAATATGTTGGATATCTTGAATTGAGTATACTGGATTATCATCACATTGTATTCAAATCAGGACGAATACGTGATTACGAGATTACGAGTAGTCTAATCTCAAAATAATACAAATATAGCAGGATAGTCGAGGAGATGGAATAATTTCAATTCTTTCGACTATTATCGCAGATATATTAATCAATCCATTGTTCAATCTGTCAATGTTATAAAGGGGATACGATGAAGGTGTTAACGGAAAATGGCTTGCCCCTATAACTCTTGTATTAGTGAAGATGAGGATTCGGAATTCAAGTCTTTTGTATCAAAGTTCAACCAACATTATTTGACATATTTACTCACTTTGCCGCAATCTCAGTTCGACCGGAAATTACCCCAACTATCGATTTTAAAATGGGACATCCTATATATTTTTACTATTCTGATCTAGAATGACATACAGAATCCAACTAAACCTCACTTGTGGAGATCTGACAAATTAATTCAATTTCATTCCATCTCTTATTTTTCGAATCGCTTCATTCTCGACCAAGTTACATGGAAAAATACCATATTGAAGCATATGCCTGAACAATCGTTTCGGAATAGTGATTTTCCCAACAGGTGCGGAAAGTTATTCTGTTCCGCACGCGACTGCCGTTGACACAAACGACGCGAAGCGGAGTTCTAGAATTGATCCTTGCGGAACACCATTATTTATGAGAGTCAGATGAAACTCTGTCGACCACTACATGGAGATATCTGTTTGAGAGAAAACTAGCTAGCAGAGAACATATCTGGGGAGGCAACTCATTGAGATGGAAACTTGGCGAGGAGTCCGTGGTGCCAGACTCGATCGAATGTCTTGGAGATATCGAGTGTCACGGCTGATGTTTCACCATATTTTTCAATAGATTGCTCCATATATGTGAGACGTAAGCGAGCAGGTCACCAGTTGATCTCTGATGACGGAAGCCATATTGCGTATCGTTGATTATACCTGAATGTTCCAGGTATTTCATGAGCTCGATGTTGATAGCTTTCCCCATGATCTTTGAAATGATAGATAGCAGTGCGATTGGTCTGTAGTTGCTAGGTAGGGTCTTTTTGCCTTTTTTATAGGAACTGGTCGTACTCTCACAATTTTCCAGTTGGACGGGAATATCACCAATTCGTGAGAGTGGTTGAACAACTTGCAGAGAACAGGTGTTAGTTCGGGAGAACACTTCTTGAGAACAATCGCTTGAATTCCATCGGAGCCATGAGCTTTGTTGGTGTTGAGACCCAATAAAATCCTTCTTATAGTACGTTGGCGAAAGGTGATCTCGGGCATATGACTGCCAATTGGCGTTATGTTTGGAGGTTGTTTTCCTGATGGAAATGAAAACTCCAGAGACAAATTTTCAATCAATAGCAAATTCGACTGTCACTACTGATGACCACGAGTTTGAACCAACCTAATGAATCATTTGTTTGTTTTTAAGCAATTATCTGAGAATGTTCTGTGAACATGCACTACTGTTGAGTCCGAAATTGATTGATTCTCCCAATGTCAAGGTGCACGAAAAGCTCATTCGGAGCTTATCTATTGACGTGCTAACAAATTCATCAAATATATCACAAAAAATAACAATTTCGAATCATTATTATTTTGTATTTTTCATTGAATGAATTTAACTTATTCATAAAATAAACAAATGTATCCAGTTTAATGTCCAGGACTATATATCAATCGGGTCAATTCGACATTCGATGTACAGCTAGAACAATAAAATTTCTATATTTCATCTTCGTTGGGTTTCAATGGATACCATAACATTTGGAACACATCCCAAAGATCGTTTGAGACCTAGAATTCATTTGTTCTTTATACGGTTCTGGTAACATGATGTTCAATGAAATAGCGAATATAAACTTTGACAATATTCATTTTATTGATGATGAATGCAGTTAAATTCCAGTATTTTGATGAATCCAGTCCCTGAAGGCGGAAACTCTAGCATATACACCTGGATATCTAGGATCAGCACATGAATATCCCCATGAGACGATACCAACAACTTGACCGTTGATCATAGCTGGACCACCAGAATCTCCGTCACATGAATCTTTACCGCCAACTCCAATCAAGCCAGCACAAAACATATTGTTGGTGATTGTATCATTTGCTAAAGCACTTTGACATACATTTCTGTTGACGGTAGGTACGGTGACTTCTTGGAGATCATAAACAACATAATCCGCAGCGTACGTGGCACCCCATCCTGTGATGGTGAGTTGAGCATTATCGGGGATCACCTGTCCGGCTTCAGGTAGTCTGGCTGGTCTGGTTGATTGATTGAGAATGAGCGGGGGGTCCAGTTCAAGTAGAGCGATATCGTAGTCCGCAGTGCTAATATTGAATTGGGGATGCGTGATGTACCTGTTCAAAAAATGAAGTTTGCCACCTCTGCTCCAATCTGATGATCCTGCCCGAACTAAGAGATTTTCGATATCGCTGTATCCTTCGATGAAGCAGTGTGCAGCTGTGACCACCCATTTTTCGGATATCAAAAATCCACCGCAGAAATGACTTTGCCTATGCTGTAATGATATTTGCCAGGGGTAGTCGGTGATGTTTGCGTCATGGCCACCAATTATTTCCAAATTTGGGTTTGTTTCACTTTGCGCTGTTGGTGCAGCTGGAAAATTAAAACAATTTCGTTGTTTGATGAACACGAATGTCACTCCAACAATGATTTTCACATCTATACATATTTTGTAAACGTTTCTGATGTTTTAAGAGGATTCATTTCCGTCCCATAAAATTAATCTCATGTATTGAAAATACCAAAAAACCTACTCATATGATTCATTCTCTGGTGAAGATGGAATATACGATATATCAAAAATATGGGTAACTACTGCTCCTAATTTGGAATTACGTCTATATCATTATGTGTTATGAAAATAGCATTTCATATAATTTTATATAAGAGATTCATTCCACCAGGTAGAAAGTGAATATCAATAATAATAATAATAATAATAATAAATAATAAAAATGTTTATTCACATACAAAAGTGTAGGTACAAAGCAGTAGTGGTATAAATAAAATTCGTAAATAAACAAAATATCACAGAAGCAAAAATATGCTTGTTCGTGATTTGACGTGATGTGTAAATAGCAGAAACATATATAAGAAAGTGGAATGTGAGTTCAATAAAGGATAAACAAATAAGATTAAAAAAATATAAATATATATATATATATATGACTTACAGTAACAGTTTGTTAAATGGTAGAGATAATTATAAATTTGAGTAAGTATTGACAAGATCAGGAAGGTATATACAAAATTTGGAAAGTATGGACAAAGTTTGAATAGTATAGACAAAATCTGGTTGTTATTGACAAAATCAGGTGGGTATGGACAAAATCAAACATAGGTAAGGACAGTTCGTGAGTTATGGATACATTGTTCAATTTATCAATATAATATATAATATAAATATAACAAAATTCATCACTATAATCGAGACAAGTAAATTTAATATTCAGGTCGGAATATCCGATATTTTGTAATGAATATTCACCTCATGTACTTTAAGTCTACTAGATCACTGAACATTTTTCTTCCAGTTGCATTAATCCACTTTTTCAATTTGTGTTTGAGTCCATTATAACTCCTAACACTCTTTAATTCATTTGGTAGTGTATTCCAAAGCCTGGCGGCTAAGTATTCTACCGAGCGTTGTCCAATTGTTTTATTACTAAATGTAGTGCTGTATTGTGTTTTTTTTGTTCTTGTTTCATATTTGTGTGTGGGAGAGGTTAATTTTATTTTATTTTTATGAATATTCAATATTATTCTTTGACAAAAAAGCTGCCGAATGTCCAATATTTTTGTTTCACTGAAGAGTAAGTAACTAGAATAAGTGATTTTCTTTCTAAATATTATTCTCAGTATCCATTTTTGTACAACGCCTAATTTTTGTAGGTGGCAGTCGGCCACGGCACCCCACCCTAGTATACCATAAGAGAGTTGGGACTGGACAAGTGCAAAATAAATAATTTTGAGATGTGTATTATCTAGATAATCTGAAAGGATCCTAAATTTAGTCAACAGACCCCTCAGTTTATTGGTTAAATATTTCATTTGTAGATCCCATCTGAAGTGTCTATCTATAATGATTCCCAGATATTTGATTGAGTCCTTCTCCAGAATCTGTATATTATTATCAATATTTAGTGGCCCTAGATTCGGTAGGTTGTTGGCGTAGGAGGTGAACGGTAAGTAGCAAGTTTTCTGGCTGTTGAGTGTTAATTTGTTGAACTTGAACCATTCGCCAATATTCCGGAAATCTTCTTCTGATTCACTTTTTAATTGTTTCCAGGATGATGATTGGTAGAGAATAGCCATATCATCGGCAAAACAAATTATTTTACCTTTTGTTGTCGATTTCATAACATTGTTCACATATATCGTGAAAAGTAGAGGTCCAAGAACAGTTCCTTGTGGTACGCCATAGGTCACTGTTTTTGGATCACTCAGAGTTCCGTCGATGTTGACAAATTGCTTTCGATCGCCTAGGTAGTCTTTAAGTAGCTCGAATGTATTCCCTCTTAATCCGTAACAATACAATTTTTTCAATAAACGTTCGTGGCAAACAGTGTCGAACGCTTTAGAAAGGTCAACAAAAATGCAAATGGATGGAATATTTCTATCCAAAGCATTATATATTTCGGACGTTAAGGCATAAATTGCATCGTCTGTAGATTTTCCTTCTCTTAAGCCATACTGTTCATCTGAAAGTATATTAAATTTATCCATAAATTTGGTGATTCTGGTTTTCAAAAGTTTTTCAAATATTTTTGAAAATATCGACAGTATTGAAATGGGTCGATAGTTTTCAATTTTATTTTTGTTTCCACCTTTATGTAACGGTTTTATAATGCCGATTTTTAGGCAAGTTGGGAAGCTTCCTACTTCGAAACACTTATTAATTATGAAACTGAGAGGTTCAGCTATTTGAGCACTGATGTTTTTTAAAGTTTCCGCAGTGATATTATCCCATCCGGGTGCCTTCTTCGGTTTCAGATCTCCAATGACTTTAAGAACTTCTTTTACATTTGTGGGATTCAGAAACATACTGCTTTCCAAGTTGCTAATGTCCTCTCTATAGTCTTTTGGAGATTCTATTTTGTTTGCATAGTCCTGTCCCAAGTCTGTGTAATATTCATTGAATTTGTTTGCGATGTCAGTTTTATCTGTAAAAATTTTTTGGTCATTGGATTCTATTGAGTCTATGTTTGTTTTAGCTTTTTCCTTCGAACATATTTTGTTGACAGTGTTCCATATAGCACTGGAATCATTAGGATTTTTTTCTATCAGTTGGTTCGCATAGTTTTTTTTTGAGATAGTTATCAATTTTCTAATTTGATTTTTATAACTTCTATATTTTTCTTTGAGTGTTTCATTGTGAGGGTTTATTTGTAACTTTTGAAAAATTTCATTTTTTTCATCAATAGATTTCTGTAGCCCCGGGGTGATCCATTTTTTCCTCATTTTATTTTTATTTTTCCGTATTTTCACTATTTTTGTATTTTTATCAATATACTGTTTTACTTTCTGTATGAACACGTCCATCATTTCATTTGTATCGTTAGATCCATAGATGTCTCTCCAATTTTCATTTTCCAAATTAGATTTTAGCTTTTCATATTCTATATATTTTTTGTAAATACTTGCTTCTTGTAAACTATTTGAATTTTTGTATTTTTCAATGTAAATTGCAATTGGAAGATGATCAGTGATATCATAGTTGAATACAAATGATTTAAATTCTCTCTTTGATTGATTGTCTCTCAAAAAGATATGATCTAAACATGTTTTGCTTGTTGGTCGTGTGACTCTATTTATGTATAGAATGTAATTGAATGAACTCAGGATATTTTTGTATTCCTCGACATCGTTTGTATCACCCAGCAAGTCCACATTTATGTCACCAATCAAAATATGTGAACTGTTTTTTTTATTTTTGTCTAGATAACTGTATAGATCGTTGTTGAATAAATCCAGACTTGTGCTGGGCGACCTGTAAATAGCGGAAATGGACAATTTTGAATCATCTTGTTCTAGGTTCAATTCAATGATTGTGCTTTCAGCAATATTAGTTATCCTATGAGTGTATTTGAAATGTGATCGGATGTAAATGAGAATACCATCATTTTTGTTCAGTTTTCCTTCGCTGTATATATTATCGTAACCATTTATAACAAAAGCATTACTATCGTACAACCTAAAAGTTTCGGTTAGTATGATAACATCAAATTTTTGTGAGAACTTGTTCAAAAAAATTTGTAATTCATCATAGTTTTTGACTAAACTCCTTATGTTTAAATGTAATATTTTGGTATAGTTGTTGGAGAGTTTATGATTGAATTCCGTTATGTTTTCTACAAGTTCTCCAAGTATGTGTCTATTTTCGTAGTTTTTTATGAACGGATCCATTTCCCCTATTTGAAGTACTTAAAACTTACATTTTTATTTTTATCTACCACTAAAAGCAGATCTCAGTTGTATGTCCCTAGCTGAGTTTTTTCTTTCTCTCTCTGATTTCCTAGAACTGTTTACAGTTGGTTTGTTTGCTGAGGTTTTTTTCTTGTCTTTGTCTTCTTCCTTTTCCTCTTGTTTCTTCAGGTTCTCCTCTTCTTCTTTTTCCTTGTTTTTTTCTTCGTCCAGGACTACTTTCTTTTCTTCAGAAACGGTTTTCAATAAAAAATCAGGTCTTGAAGGCGTCTGAGGTGCACTATTTATTACTTGAGAACTTTCACTACTTTGTTCAATTTCCAAAATATCTTCTACTGTGTACACCGTGTTATTACTGTAGAGCCTCTCCCCTTTTATGTAGCACCGATTTTCACCTGTAGATCGTAGTTTTGTGAGGAAGTTTCTCAAGATTTTAATCCTTTCTTGCTGAGTTTTGGTAAGATCGGCAGATATAGTTATATTGGTTCCTTTCAGCTTTTTACAGTTTCGCAAAATGTTGATTTTTGTGAATGTTGATAAAAATTCTATTTTGATTGGGCTATTTTCTGCCTTTCCAAGACGGTACAAATTATTTATATCTGATATGTTTATTTCTACATCCAATATTTTATTCAACTGATTGCAAATATTGTCGACGGAAAGATCCTCAAATTTTTTTGTCAATCCAAACACCACGATATTGTTCTTTTTTCCGTTTCTCTCAAGTGTTTCAATTTTTTCTTTGAGTTCCGTATTCTCTTTCTCCAGTTTTTTTATTTTTTCGCTGAATGTTTCTATTTTCATTAACAATCTGACTTCACTGGCTTCAATGGCGTTTTTTATTTCTTTTTTACTATTAACTATTTCTTCATACAGCTTTTCCATATTTCTTTCACGATCTGGCAATCGCGCTTCGAGCGGTTTAGCGTCTGCTGCTGGCTTGTTTTCGGTCCAAAGGTCGATTTGAATGGGAAACCGTGAATCAGGTTTGTCGTTTTTCGTTCTATTTTGTATTTCACTTTGGAATTTATTCACTTACGTGATTGCTTGACTGTTCTGGATCCTTCTGAGGCACTTTTCTGATTATTTTACGTTTATTTTTCGCGTGTTTTTGATTTATTCATTGGGATAATTCACTATCATCCACTCAACACTGTTGCTGTGAATATTCCCACACAGACAATGAATTGGCATTTCTCAAATTTTTAGTCGCTACTATACTAGCTCCAGAACACACCATCATTATTAGCCTGGTGCTCCATCGATAACATTTCACCCAAGTTTTCTTCATTATTATGCAAATAATGAAAAACCGCTCGGACAGGTGGATTTCATCAATTTGTCTTCACTATACACAAATTGAAATAATACAAATATTTTAATTTTTCGAAAACGAGGGTTGAAAATCCAAACAAAACATACAATAATGAAAACTACTTTCACATTTCTCTATGCAGAGAGTACGCAGTTTCATCAAAGTAGTCGAAGTACTCGATGCTGAAGGTCGATATGAATCCCAATAAAAACAGACATACAGGGTGTTCCAGAATAACGTTCTCATACTCCGGAAGGTCGATCTACAGATGAAAATAAGAAAAAATGTTTTTATCAACAGGTGTCCGAAAATGCTTCCTATATAAGAGCGCTACAAACAGCCCTTTGATCGTTGGTCCCTAAATGCAGATTTCTTCAATTATCTTCGTTACCATTGATCATGAAATTTTGAACGAATAGGTTTTTCGATCTCATAAATCGTTTGAAGGAATGGAAAAAATGATATAATATACAGGGAGGTGCGAAACTTGAAACCCGTACTAAAAAAATTGTCCCAATTTTTTTTGTCTCACACTGTATATTCTTGCTATAACCAGAATATGATTCTCCAAAAACTTCCTCATGAAAAAGGTACACTTGTTGGAATGCCGTAAAACTAACCGTGCTCAAGAAAACTGTTATTTTCATTCTGATGTCCTAAAGAATTCACGTCAGGAATTAATAAATCTGTCAAATTTCGACAACTCTGTTGCGGATATTTTCTCAACAAATCAAGATCACATTTATCCCAAATAAAGCAAAACTAACTGGAATAGAAAATTTAATTATCAAACTCCACTTTTTTTATCATAAGAACAAACGCCCAAAATAATTATCCCTCACTCTTTGGAAAATACCAGGCTTATTTCTTATCAAATCGCAAGTATTCCTCACACATGAAAAAAAATTGAATGCGAGTTCCCCTATCCTTTCTGCTTTATCAGTAGAAGGCCTGCTTGAGAATCCCAGCACTATTTATTCTCCTCTGATCATTCATACCTACCTAATATCAATCAACTCGAAACTCTTACCATCTATGTTACATGTTATCCCAATGAGGAAGCTATGATCACAGGTTCAGATGCATTAACGTGCAACTCGAGCCCTTAGGAAGAGGACAACAACAGAGATGAACCTAGTTGAATAACCGGAAAGGTTATGCCCAAGGAAGAAAGGCAGGAGGCGAATGCGAGAAATCGTACAGTAACTCAGTGAATATGATAGATATTAGAGGGTTGAGTTTTAGAAAACAATGACAATGTATTCGTCCTATCATCTGGAGACATTTCGAGATTCATTCTGGTGTATTTCATTGTTAGTTATATTGCAACTGCGTGAATATTAGATGTGTGAAATGAAATGACATCAAAAGTTGCTCTTTAATGACACCTAACAGGCATGAAAGGTGCATAGGCAAGTAAACTGTGTTGCTATGCAACGTAACAATCAATAAGTGGAATCAAATTGCTAGTCGAAATTGGGAATGACATTGCGGTTGAACTCAAAATGATGGAGTTTCCAAAAATGATATCACGATGTGCTGAATATTCGAGATAATTCTGTCGCTTCATTGTTCACGAAATTATGTTGCCGAGCAACACCACGAGTCACGGCATAAAAATCCACATTTTTTATCAAAACAAACCATATTACCAGAACGATTCATCTCACCGACTACATCAGCTATAATTATTTTTCTGCAACCGACACAGAAGTCGTCCATTTTGATACCAAAATTAGGTCTTAAATTGACGTTTCTATTACTGACACAAAAATAGGTAGGTTGCTAGGCAACATATTTAGTTCCTAGGAGCTAAAGTTGAATTTTAGTTCCTAGGAGCTAAAGTTGAACTTTAGCTCCTAGGAACTAAAAAGGAAGTACTGGACGTCATCAAGAATAAACAACATTGTGACGATTGGTTATTTGGGTTGAGACGCATACCTGATTTGTTTCCGATTTCAGCAGATTTGGCATTTCATACTCATGCTGGAGATATAAATACTCCTTGCAATAGTTGAGTATAGTATAGGAATTATACACATCTCAGTTGAGTATTTTTGTTTTGATCAGGGAAGCCTTCAAGGTTCAAATACTTGCTTGATCTGTATTACATTCGTTATTCTCGGGATGGATAACTTGTTTTTGAATAATCGCGGCAAGCAATAGTTTTTTGTCTCAAACAACGATATTGTTTAGCTTCATTTGATTATTAAGTGAAAAACATTGTATCATAGAGAGGAGTAAATAATCGCCATCATCATTGTTGATATGCTCACTAACCTAACATTTTCCACGTCTTGTTCCTATAGCTGGCGCGGTATTTGCTATTAGAGCACCTGGTCCATACACAAATAGGTCACTCTGTGATTGTACTTATATTGAAACTACAATTCGAACATCCTTGAAAATTGAATGAACCTGCTGTTGATGCAGGTAGAATGTTCTCACTACACGGATTATTTGTCAATATTTGTTGCATTGCATACATATGGCACGGCATTGGTGGTAACTTCACATATTTATTTGAGTTAATTGTTTCGGTTGCAGAAAAAATAGCATGTTTCATTCGGATCAAAAGTGAATTTGTTCGACTCGCAAATTTTGCTTTCGCTCGGCTTCGCTAAACGCTCCGCCTCGCAAATGCAAAATTCGCTTGTCAAACAAAGTGTCACTTTTGATCCTAATAAAACAATATACTATTTATGCCAAACTGACAGACTGTGCTTCGCTATTCATGGTTACATCGGTAAAACCACCAACGCTGATAGGCCGATCAGAATCAAAAGATTCGTTTTCGCGATAACACTTTGTTGTCATTGGCTTGTGATTGGTCAGATTATGTGAAAATTTTGTGTTGAGTGAAATAATCAATAAAAAATACCCCACAGTTGTTATCTGTTTTTGTGGTGACTGTCACTGATTGTCAGAAATGTCAAAAATATATTGAATACGCGCCTATACTGTGGTTATCACTTGGTAGATATGGAAGTATAATTTTCAGATACATGTTACAAAAATAATTGGTTGTGTAGCGAAAATACATCAAGTCACACTCACTATTAGTTTTCCTTTTCTATACGCATGTGTACCTATATGTGAAGGTTTATGCATGATTCGATCAACACTGAATTTGTTTATCATCTAGTTCATTCGAGATAAAGAGAGTATTTGGGACGGATATTGACTTGATGTATTTCCAGGACTTCACAGACTATCACAAAACTCACCAAATGTTACACCAAGTATAGCTAGAGCAAGTGTGAATCTGATCATTTTACAGTTTCTGATGAGGTGGAACTGCATGAATGAAATAAAACTCAAGCGGAAGTTTATAAATAAATACGAAATCTTGGATAAAATATTGTGCTGGGTCATTTCCACATTGTATTGTATTCAAATGAGAACGAGTACTGAATACGAGATATCAAGTGGAATACTCTCGAAATATTAGAGATATGGTAACGTTGTCGAGAAGATGAAATTGTTTCAATAGTTCAATCTGTCATATTATGATGGTTATACGATATATGGACCAATTAATGATTAGTTAATATATAGACATTCGTCCGTTATGAAACGATGAAAAATATATCCTCGAATCGTCTCAAAATTAATAATTTTTACTTCTAATTTTATAACTTTCAATGATATCAGATGGTTTCAATGCCATTCAGTTTTCAGTCCATGCACCATGGTAAGAGAAGGTGTATTTGGAAGAGAATTGAAAGTGTTGCATATAGGTACAAAAATATTGTGTTATGATATCGAATCACTATACAAGTTTCTTAAGACACTATTTTGTCGCACGGAATACGACGAGCAGAGCGAGGGATGCTAAGAAAACAGTTTGTCCTATAAAACGTGTGTTATAGGTAAACTATTTTTCCTATTCTGTATTCATCTGTACTTTTTTATCCAAAGAGCATTTCATCATCAAAAAAATAAATATATGTTGATCCTCTGATTACACGAAACTTCGTGTCAATCGTGTCTGACAGTTTGGCGTTACCATTTCCATCTTTGAAATGAAAAATTTAGCGTACCAAATCGAAACTTTTTCGATAACCATTTGGGTTTCCTAATGATTCGTCAATGACGCATGATTTAAAAAATACCATTACTCTACAGGGTGTTTCACAGGTAAAGGGAAATATTTCAAAGGTAGATATGGGTCACCAAGGTGGTTCTGAAAATACCATATTTGATAGGTCTTAGAGTTTTCATAACGGAGATACAGGGCGATTTATCGATTTCGAATGATTATTCATTCGTCTATAAGTATTGAACTACCCAGTATATTTTTCTAAAATTTGGTATGGAGCTTGAACTTGGGACTTTGAATTCATTCACCTATCGGGCGAAGAGAAAATCCAGGTTCGGCTTCAGGAAAAATTCACATTTATTGGAAATATTAAAATAACACACTGTATGTAATAATTGACAGAGTTCATCAAAGGAATCGTAAAGAGGAGGAAACACTGAACTGGATTTGATGCTTCTTGTTTTCCCGCCACCAATTCTCATCGTAACAATCATAAACAGAAAGCTGAAAGTATGTCAATTTGAAGAG